GGGGGGGGGGGTGGTTGCCCCAAGTGAGACGAGATGGAACGCGGGAACATGGGGGTTGTGTCTGAAAGCACGGATTGCGTCAAAGAATTCCGCTCCGCCTGGGAAATGGCACGTGCACACGCCTCCCGACGAGTTTTAAACGACACAAGCCTAGTCTTACTTCATCGACGAATCGGGTAAACCGCGTCTGTTCTCGTATACCAACGGGGACTACAGATATCTAGAAACGAAAAAAAAAACTGACGGCCATACTGCTCAATGTGTGACGTGTTCACTTGCAACGAGAAATAATCGTACCTTCTGGGCCAAAGCTTTCAGATGCTGGGCGACCTGCTGGGACGTAATATCCAACGTCACAACATCTCTGTAACGAGACGTTGCTAGCCACTCCCGGACCCAACGCAGCACGTCGGCTCCGGTTCCAATCTTGTGTCCGTTACCCCGGTCGTGCAGTGTGAGGAAAAGACACAGAGGCAGCTTCGAGCCAAAATGATTCCCCCTCCATTTCCAACCCAAGTACCCGAAGTGTTCCTCCGCGATGGACGCAGGGGTTGCTGCGCTGTCGGAGTCCTCCACCTTGTGCGTCATGTGGTCCGTAAATTGAGGGTGGGGTGGGGGGTGAGAGTAAAGCAGACCGCAGCCGGTGTCTGGGATAACCGTGACCGCTACCATTCAAACAACAGCAACAACGGCCGACCCGAAGGCCGTGTAGACGCCTGATCGTATAGACGCCTGACTAATCCGGCGACACGAGAGAGTTCACTCACACGTTGCCGCCGAGCACCTCTGCTTTCCTCCCAAGCCTGCGTGCTCAGCGATGGCGTGGTGTGCCGACGTTGACTTCCCGCGCGTGCGGGCCTGTCTGGCGTGTGGGTAGATCCCTGCATCGGAAGTACTGACCCTGGATTTCGACGGTAAGGTAGCAAAGTGTTTAGAATTGCGCATGTGTGGATGTTCGCGTAGTGTATCGCGACCGGGCGTTGGCTGTTCAAAATGCTTCATGTCTACACATATATATATATATGGTGTAGCTCGATGTATCCATATGATGCTAAACAATAAACTAACGGACATCGCCGCTCCATCGAACAAGAAGCAAGAGTGTCGGACAGGGTTACCGTCGGGGGACTGACTGGTCTTACATCCCGGGGCATGAACTGTTCACAAAGAGAGAAGACCAAGTACCCCAATGAATGACCTTGGTGACACTACGCAATACCAGTTCAACAGAAATACCAGAGGCAGAAAGTGCATGGTGATGCAGACCTTTGTCTTCGACATAACATGCGCATATTTCTCACTCCTCACCTTCTATATAGTCTAGTGTTACCAGACGTATACCAAAGAGAGAGTTGATTGCTCAAACAAAGGGGGAAATGCACTTCTTCCGTCGAACAATTTATTACTAATAAAACAATAATATGCATATCAGCGGGCAGTTTGTATAAAGTAAGTGGCGACGGATGCCCGCAGCACTACACAAGTGGTGACGCATGCACCGCAAAAGCCACCCGTCATCGCCGCTCGTCATATCCCACATCCAAATAATGTTACAAATCTGTCCACGAACAGAGAAGCAAAGTGTTTAACCCTTAACAATGTTCTGCGCACCACCTACTTGTGCTGGTTGGGGGTTTGTACTTGTCCCTCCGCGCCGCTTACCCCGACGTGCCACACGAAGGATCACACTGCGACAACAGAGTACAGTAGCAGAGATATTTTTATCGGAGGAACAAGTCTATTTCAGGGTCCTTGGTGCACAAGAGGCCACGTTGTTCAGTTGTGGGTGCGGAGTTTGGACATTGCTCTGTGTACACTACACCATTTGACAAACGGACTTCTATCCGAGATAGCCAGCATTATANACAAGCCACGCCTGTGATGCTGCTAGAGCGCACGCCGAGTGCGAGTCCAGTAGACGCTCGAGCAATCGGATGGGTGTACGATGAAGGGCTTGTGGAGAGGGCCCTGTCCTGATCCATCCCCGCATGTGCCATGCACGCCTGCGTAGAATGAGACCCGCCAGCTTCCTCGATTTCGTAGATCTGGTAGAGATACCGTCCAAGTGTAGACATATATACGTCATAGACCATAGGTGTCAACGGTTATGCGGCGTAGTTCCCTTAGAAAAGTGCGGGAGATGTAACTCCCGCTGGAAGGATAAACCCGGGGACAGGTCCTTTGTAGCCCCTATTTGAGGGAGCTTGACCTCCCCGACTGTGCTCAGTCTACCTTTGAGAGCAAGGCAACAACAAGCACTGCTGTTCCCACAGATTAATAAACAAGTGAGTCTTCCCCAGGGTCTTCAGGGATTGTTGTTGTTGTTTGTTGTTTTTCTTCACATTAAACTCGTGTCAGTTGCTAATCCCAAAATCTAGTAAAGACTTGGTCCGTGGTCACCAAAATGCTGGAGCCATCAGACTATCTAAAGAACACACACTATTAGCAAGGAAAGGGTACGCAAGCCCGAGGAGGTACACCTGCAATCCCTGCAGCACGTTTGCGTGCTCACAACTGAACTACACGCCCACACACTACAAATCGACTACAGCAGCAGCGTCAACCCCCTTGTCCCGCATTTAACCAAAATGACTGTCGAATACTGTCTGTACAATAATATCATGGTGCGTGGTACACAAGCTCGGGGCATGGAGCTGCTGTCTGAAGTGCTGTCAGAATGAGCCCGTGGACATACAATGAAGAAGAACGCCGAACCAAAGCCATCATTGCAATTGACAATCACCCGAATCTATCCAGATCATGTGTGTTAGGCACAGCGGCACAGCAGTGTAAAGGCCGTTTTAAACGGACCGACTTTTTGTCAAAATTTTTGAAGTGTCAAAAAATGGAACCTGTATGTAGGCGTTTGTCCATTTTTTTCGAAAATAAGGAGGGTTCTTAACGAGATTTGTTCTGTTGGAATATGCCGACATGCGCCCTACTTTTTCGGAAAATGCCGATTTCTTGTCGGAAAATGCTGAAAATGAAGCGTCGGAATTTTTCGGGCGCCGCTTCATTTTCGGCATTTTCCGAAGAGAAACTCCGAAATGACTCCGAAATGGGAGCACTCGAGTTGCACTGCAGTCGCCAGCACGCTGAGCACCCTCTCGCACTCCAGATCTCGGGGACAGTCCCCAGGTGGCTTGCTTGTGTCGCCTGTAAGCTTGTAGACCATGGATGGTCACGGAAAGCGCTGTGGATCTGCAGATTTCGCGGAGCAAAGGCGGCGAAAGCGTCGCAGCCTGGAGATGAACCCGCTTTCCGTGATGCGGGCGATGGCTGCTGCGGTGGTTGTCGTGGTAGCAAACCCGGCGACCCCGGCAGCTTGCGACAGCATCGTAAGGGGGCATCGCGAACCCTCCGCTTCTACGGCAGCGGCGGGGGCGGCCACGCGCAGCCGGCGAGAGGCGTGGCTCGGGAGAGGGTCGCGGCCGCGGCCGTTGTCATCATCAACGGCGGCAGCAGACTGCTGCAACCCATGACCCAACCCATGACCACAGGCAGCACCACTTTCGCCTGTGTTGTCGTATCTCGCGGGTCGGCGATGGCCCCTCGGCGGCCTGCCGCCGGTAGGTCCGCTGTTCTCGTCGCTCTGCATGTTTGTACGCT